CAATTCAAGTTTGTTTACTCCTCCTTCCAGTCTGTATGGAAGACTGCTGATTGAAGCTGCTGTGTGCTAGGAAACAGGTATCTTTAGTGGAGGCTAGAACTATAGCCAACATACTATACTGGGGGGCACCGATAGCAACAAGACAGACCTCTCCAAGGGTCCCTATGCAGTGTGCCAGCACCTCCCCAACCCAGACACTATGCACTGCAAGCCTGCTGTAAATTGCTACATGCAGTGGCGTCTGCTCCAATAGTGGGCAGAAAGAGCCCTCAGCAAGAAACTGAATCAAGTCAAACCACCAAGCTGGGTCATCCTCCTTTGTTAATGTTTTGTTTTTTAGCATCAGGATTGTTTGCTCCTTTTCTGTCAAGAGCAGGAGATTATAAAGGCTATGCTTGACACAAAACGAGGAAGGGATAATCCATCACTATGATAAAAAGTGGGAGCAGCTGGACTAACAGAAAAGTAGGTTAATTTTTTTAATCATCCTAAAACATGAGCTGTGAGGCTCTTGGCCCGGAATAAAAGCCGTAAGTAATGTGGTGGATAAGTGCACAATTAGCACAGCCATCATTTTAAGTTTTGCTTTAAAACGCTTTGATTAGCATCACTTCTGCATTCCAAATTCAAGCACTGTAACTAACCTAATTTGGGCTTTGAGCACCAGCATGAAGACATCTGTACTTCTTAGTAAACCTTTATCATTGGTCCTTCTTAGATGAAAAGTGACTTGACTTGGAATACTGCCTATAGTTCACTGTCCTTGTTGTAACTCCTAGGATATATCACCTTGCCTTTGGGTTCCAATCAAATCACCTTCCCTACTATAACCCTTTAAAATATTCATAGCCTACTAATGTAATAGGCACTCTGGTGGTGTAGTGCCTAAGGCATTTGACTGTTACCCAGAAAGCTGGTGCTTCAAACCCATCAGCCACTCCTCAGAAGGGAAGATTGGGCAATCTACTTCCTAGTGATACGGCCTCAGAAACCCAAGGAGGGGTAGCTATGAGTCAGATCCAACTCGATGGCATAGAGTTTAGTTTTTTCAGTTTACTAATGTAATAAGGTTTGCACTGGCCAATTCTTTGAGCAGTGGATGGCCCCTTCCTTCTTCAGAGTTGTCTTAGTATGGAAGCTCCACTGAAGCCTGTCCGCTATGGGTGACCCTGCTGGTATTTGAAATACCAGTAGCATGGCTCCCAGCCTCACAGCAACACACAAGCCACCACAATACGACAAACTGACAGATGAGTGGTGGATAACATTGAGAAGAACGGCAATTCCAGAATACTTGATTGTGCTCATCAGGAACCTGTACTTAGACCAGGAGGCTGTCATTTGAACCAAACAAGGGAATACTGCATGGTTTAAAACCAGGAAAGGAGTGCATCAGGGTTGTATCCTTTCACCAGACTTATTCAATCTGTATGCTCAACAAATAATCCAAGAAGCTGGACTATATGAAGAAGAGCATGGCATCGGGATTGAAAGAAGACTCATTAACAACCTGCGATACACAGACGACACAACTTTGCTTGCTGAAAGTGTGGATCACTTGAAGTACTTACTGATGAAGATTAAAGACTCCAGTCTGCAGTATGGATTACATCTCAACATAAATAAAACGAAAATCCTTACAACTGGACCAATAAGCAGCATCACAATAAATGGAGAAAAGATTGTTAAAGAAAAGTTGTTAAAGATTTCATATTACTTGGTTCCACAATCAACACCCATGGAAGCAGCAGTCAAGAAATCAGATAACATGTTGCATGGGGCAAATGTGCTGCAAAAGACCTCTTTAAAGTGCTGAAGAACAAAGATGTCTCTGTGAAGAGTAAGGTGCACTGAACCCAAGCCATGGTATTTTCAACCGCCTATATGCATGCGAGAACTGGACAATGAACAAGGCAAAATGAAGAAGAGCTGATGCTTTTGCGTTGTGGTGTTGGCAAAGAATACTGAAAGTTCTGTGGACTGCTAAAAGAACTAACAAATCTGTCCTGGAAGAAGAGTAGCAGGAATGTCCCTTGGAAGCGAGAATGGCCAGACTTTGTCTCATCCACTTTAGTCATATTGTCAAAAGGGACCATTCCCTGGAGAAGGATATCATGCTTCTTCAAAAAGTGTAGTGCCAAATCTGGCATCTCTTTTCCACTTTGTTAAATACGAAAAATTGTATACCCAAATTTAATAGTGTAGCCTTTTAATAGTCAAAATAAGAATACGGACTAAAAACACAGACATAAGGGAAGTAAAAACAAATATTCCCTGTAACAATCGTCGCTATCAAGTCAATTCTGACTCATGGAGACCCCAGAGGACAGAGTTGAAATGCCCATTTTGTCTCCAAAGTTGTAAATCTTTACATAAGCAGACTACCCTATCTTTCTTTGGTTGGTATGTTCAGTTAGCAGCCAGACACTTTCAACACTGTACCACCAGGGCTCCTTCCTTAGAATACATGATTCAATAAAACTGGCTTAAATTATAAAATAATAAAAATAAATCTCTTCTGTTGTGATTTATCACACAAAAACATAGAAAATTTCACTAACAGAGTTTTAATCAGAATTCTAAAACATACAGTTAACATATTTGTACCAATGCCTACTACAAATGAATTTACATTTTTAATTTCAAAAAAGTTGATCTATTTCAACAGAGAATGCTCTTAAAATAAGAAATAAAGCAGCAGACTTCAAATTGAAATATGCATGCCCTGGGGATATATAAAAGCAGCTCTGGTGGTATAGTGGTTAAGGCATTTGGCTGCCAATCAAAAGGTTAGTGGTTTGAATCCACCAGGCTCTCCACAGGAGAAAGATGAGGTAGTCTGCCTCCATAAAGATTTATAGTCTTGGAAACTCAATGGGAGTTACTATGAGTTGGAATCAACTCAATGGCAGTGAGCTCCGGTTTTTTTTTTTTGAGTTTGGGGATAGAAGGAAACATTTTTGAGGATAAGTAGGCTTAGTATCAAAAGAATCAATTTTAAGAACATCAACTTCCCAAGTCTTCCTAAAGGAGGATGCCTCAGGTCAGAACATCTTTCACTACGGTCCTTCACTAATTTCACAAAAAGTGAGCTCCTGACTCACCTTTCAGAATCTCGCTAAGACAAGTTGTTACCAGTTTGTAGAAACCTCCAGAGCACCAAACAAGGGCAGCACAACACGTAAGTGTCTTGACTGAGAAAGTGAACAAGTCTAACTAGGCAATACTTTTTGTCACAATTAAAATGGTTCTCAATTCTTTGCCTTCAACAAAATCAAATATAGACCTAATAGAATGTTCACTTAACACCCATGGCCATCGAGTCAATTCCAACTCAGAGCAACCCCCATTGGGTTTCCAAGGTTGTAAATCTTTACAGAAGTAGATCACCTCACCTGCTACTCATGGAGTTCCTGGTGGGTTTGGACTGCTAACCTTGGTTAGCAGCCAAATGTCTTAACCATTATACCACCAGAGTACCTTTCTCACCTAATAAATCATTAGAAATACTGCTTCACGAAAGATCACTATGAGATTTGGGGTTATAATTCAGAAGGAGTTTAAAGAACTAACAAAACGACTATAAAACAATTCCTTCCATTTCCATCTTCTTACCTATGTGAACAAGTTTTTAACATTTCCATCTATAAAAAACAAAACCGTAACATAAACAAAAAACATACAGAATTGATGCTAAACCCCATCTCATCTAGCTGTAAGTAATGTCCATCCCAGGCAACTTGAATTAATTCTTTAAAAAGTCCCCTATTATTAAGAAAGTAATGTGCAATAAATGCTTATTATTTTAATAAATGTGTATAAAAACATGTATTATATACAGCTCAACGTTTTTGTACTAGTAACAATGATAATGATAAGCCAGTTTTTTTTAATCCACTACAACTGTAGCCACTTGCCATATGTGGGTACTGAACACTTGAAACGTGGCTCATCTAAATTGAAATGTGCTATAAATGTAAAATATACACTGATTTGGAAGACTGTCAGACAATAAGATTGCAAAGCATTTCATGAATAATTTTTATTTTGGTAACATGTTGGAGTAACAATATTTTGGATATAAATGGGTGGCACAAACAGTTACATGTCAACTACTAGCAGAAAGTTTGGCAGTTTGAATCCACTCAGGGGCACATCAGAACACAGGTACGGCAATCTGCTTCCAAAAGACCACAGCCTTGGAAATCATGTGGAGCAGTTCTACTCTGTACTCATGGGGCCACCATGAGTCAGAATGAACTCTATGGCAACTAACAAAAACAACAGTTAAGTGTCTTATTAAAATTAATTTCACGTATTTCTGTCTTTTTAATGTAACTGTTCAAAAAAATTAAATGATATATGTACTTAACATTATCTTTCTATTGGACAGAAGTGCCTCAGAATCTTATGGTCAAATGATACTAAAAAAAAATTTATTTTAGTACTTAAAATGTTTTGCTACAGAGAAGCATGACAGTAAGATTGATATAAGATTCTCAAGCATAAAAGGAGTCCCTGGGTGGCACAAAACTCACTAAAAGGTCAGCACTTCAAATCTACCCAGAGGTACCTTAGAGGAAAGGCCTGGTGATCTCCTTCCAAAAGATCACAGCCATGAAAACACTGTGAAGTACAGTTCTACTCCACAATACATGAAACCATCATGGGTAGGGACGGACTCAGGGCAACAGAATTTTTTTTTTTTTTTTGGTCATTGGCATGCTTACCAGGACACCTATTATATTATCTGGCAGTTTGGTATTTACAAAATGTTGCAGCATAATTTCCCCTGCTAGGATTAAGTAGCTGAAAAATATCTCAATTATACTAATTTCCCTATTTAAAATTTCTACTTTTCCCCAGATGATAGTTTTCAGGCTTTCAAGGCCAACAGACTCAATCTTACATTTCTACTCATATATTTTAAAAGTATTTGGAAGTAAACAGATACTTAAAAGTCTTCAGTTACTAAGGAAAACACCACCACGACCACCTACCTGGATGAGCACACTGCAGCAGAGCTACTGACTTGCCTCCAGGAGCAGCACACATATCCAGCACCTTCTCCCCATCCCTTAATTCCAGAGCCAGAACTGGGAGGAGAGAAGCAGCATTTAGGAGATAGTACTTTTTCAGGTTTCCCATTTTGTGTCTTTCAGAAGGCATTCGGTCTGCAGTTCTGCTAAGGTAACACTTCATTGATTCAGGATAATAGGGTAAAGATCCTCCATTAAAGAGTGTGTGATAGCCATTCAAATGTAAATCCTTTTCCAGTTCAAAAGGATAATTGAATCTGTTAAACAGGACAGCATATTGCCAGCATGATGGTGATATTAGTATATTCCTAGAAACAGAAAAAAAAAAAGAGGGGGTGAATATTAATATACACAAAATAGTTTTATGTTCCTGAATGAGTTAAGAAACCCTGGTGGTGCAATAGTTAACTGCATGGCTGCTATCCAAAAGCATGGTAGTTTGAACCCAAACTCTGGGAGAAAAATGTAGCAGTCTATTTCCACAAAGATCACAGCCTTGAAAACCCTATGGTGCAGTTTTACTCTGTCCTATAGAGTCGGGAGCACTGGTAGCATAAAGGCTAAAGCACTTGACTGCTAACCAGAAGGCTGGTGGTTCAAACCCACCAGTCACTCCTGGGAAGGAAGGTTGGGCAATCCTACTTCCGTAGTGATACTGCCTCAGAAACCCAAGGAGGGGGTCACTATGAGTCGGGGCCAACTCGACGGCACATAACAACAACATAGAGTCGCCATAGTTGGAACTAACTCAAAAAGAATGGGAGTTGAGTATATGTGGTCCTAGTTTTACACTTTTCTTACATGAGATTTTTAGTGAGAGGATCTGTATTACTGACTTTCCCTGTTGCCTCAGGCTACAATATGGCTCAACCTGGCTGGCACTGTTAATGACCCTCTCTTTATTTAAGTATTTGATATTCTGTCTATCATGGATACTTTGTATTGATTTTGATTTTTTAAATTTTGCATTAAAATATTATCTATCTCACTGAGTTTTTTGAGGTCCCCTTAAATTCTGCATATCACAGAAGATGGGGGAATGCCTCAGTCACCACACCCTAGTCCCAACCCTGCATAGTATCTTGCCAGAAAAAAACAAGGCCTGCCTATATATCACTCTAAATCTGTGGAAATAGATTTCAGTCTTTGACTTTTTGCACAGGGAAGTGTTTTTCTAAGAGAAAAAAATCTGAGACAAGAGACTATTAAGGGCAAAGTTCTAACATTAAAGAGTATTTAAAGGAGTTTCCATTAAAGTTTTCCTCTGATGAAATAAAAGGTATGGAAACCTAAGTACAGGTAACTCTACAGTAAGAGTTAATGAGGGGATCGATGGTTCAGATGATACAAAACCAAGCATGATTTACAAATCACTTATGGATTGATGATGAGGGCATTCCCCCAACAGACTGACCTTCCCAATTTTATATTCAGTCCAATAGTTATATCTCTCACAGTCACAAACTCACATCAACTGACAGATAATACAGTAAGAAATACTGCATTTATTTATTAGCTGACCCTAGCTGAGTTATTTGGGAGCCTCATTAACCATGGTCAATTAAATAAATTCCAGCTGCTACTCACCCTGGAGTTGCCTATGTGAAGGATGGCTGGATTGAAATGTAACATCTGTGACTTGAAGTGTGCCATGTGAATTAAAATTTGGGGATAATATGTAAAACCAATTTCTCCTTTCAGTGCCTCGTATTTATGGATGGTGTACTAAAGGAGTCTGGTGTATCTGTTTCAGCTATTCTGAAGGATGACAGTGTATTTAAGAAAGTGTATGCCTCGGAAACCCAAGGAGGGGTCACTATGAGTCAGGGCCGACTCGATGGCAAATAACAACAACAACATGCTAAAGCTCTAGTAGCATAGTGCCTAAGGCATTTGACTGCTAACCAGAAGGCTGGAGGTTCAAACCCACCAACCACTCCTTGGAAGGAAGATGGGGCAATCTACTTCCATAGTGATACTGCCTCGGAAACCCAAGGAGGGGTCACTATGAGTCGGGTCCGACTCAATGGCACATAACAACAACAAACAACATGCTAAAGTTGCTGACAGTGTAAAACTATACTGTCAGCAACTTTAGCATGCAGCAAAAAAAACAGCAGTTGCTGCAAGGTAGATTCCAACCCATAGCGATCCCTTTTGTTATAGAGTAGAACTGCACTCCATGAGGTTTTCATTGTTTTACTGACCATTCAGAACAGGATCTCCAGACCTTTCTTCCAACCTGCCTCTGGGTGGGTTCAAACTGCCAACCTGTCAGTTAGTAGTTGAGCACTTACCACCTGCACCATCCTATGGGTCAGAATGTGGAAATTATTGAATACCATTAATATCACACAAAAGTAAAAATCTTGCTGAAGATAATTCAAAAACAGTTGCAGCAGTATATTGACAGAGAACTTCCAAAAATGCAAGCTGGATTCAGATGAGGACATGGCACAAGGGATATCATTGCTGATGTCAGATGGATCTGACTGAAAGCAAAGAATACCAGAATGTTTACCTGTGTTTTACTGACTATGCAAAAGCATTCAATTGTGTGTAACAAATTATGGATAAACATTGTGAGGGATAGGAATCCCAGAACACTTGATTGTACTCATTAGGAACCTGTACACAGATAAGGAGGCTGTCATTACAACAGAACAAGAGAATACTGCATGGTTTAAAATGAGGAAAGGAATATGTCAGGGTTGTATCCTTTCATCATACTTATTCAATCAGCATGCTGAGCAAATAATCTGAGAAACTAGACTATATGAAGAAGAAGATGGCATCAAGATTGACAAACTACGATATGCAGATGGCACAACCTTGCTCGCTGAAAGTGAAGATGACTTGAAGCACTTACTGTTGAAGATTAAAGACTACACTTTGTAGTATGGATTACACCTCAACATAATGAAAATGAAAATCCTCACAACTGAACCAATAAGCAGCATCACGATAAATGGAGAAAAGATTGAACTTGTCAAAAATTTCCTATTACTTGGTTCCACAATCAACACCCATGGCAGCAGCAGTCAAGAAACCAGACGACATATTGCACCAGGCAAATCTGCTGCAAAAGACCTCTTTAATGTGCTGAAGAGCAAAGATGTCTCTTTGAAGACTAAAATGTGACTAACCCAAGCCATGGTGTTTTCAGTTGCCTAATATGCAGGTAAAAGCTGGACAATGAATATGGAAGACCGAAGAAGAGTTGATGCTTTTGAGTTGTGGTGCTGGTGAAGAACACTGAAACTACCATGGACTGCCAGAAGAACTAACAAATCCGTCCTGGAAGAAGTACAGTCAGAATGTTCCTTGGAATGGCCGGACTTCATCTCAGCTACTTTGGTCATGTTGCCAGAGGGACCATTCCCTGGAGAAGGATATCATGCTTGGTAAAGTAGAGAGTCAGTAAAAAAGGGGAAGGCCCTCAATGAGATGGATTGACACAGTGGCTGCAATGATGGGCTCAGGCATAGCAATGATTGTGAAGCTGGCACAGGACCGGGCAGTATTTTGTTCTGTTGTACATAGGTTTGCTAAGAGTCAGAGCTGATTCAATAGCACCTAACAACAACAACTAGGCAAAATAAGGCCTTATCAAAACCAAAAAAAAAAAAAAACCTCACTGCCACTGAGTTAATTGCAATTCACAATGACCACCACTGGGTTTCCAAGGCTGTAAATCTTTATGGAAGCAGACTGCGTCATTTCTCTTCTGTGGTGCAATTGGTTTAGAACCACTGACCTTGGTTAGCAGCTGAATGCCTTAACCACTAGAGCACCTAAGGCTTTGACTAGAAGAAATAAAATTGCTCATCTCTTAACCCTAACCCAATCATATTGAACAACCAGTATGGCACAAGTTTTCTTTAGCTTTTTATTAGTCTCAGCATAAACTGCTCCCTCTGCCTAGAATGATCTTTCCTCTTTCTCTCACCATAACCTCATTTACTCTCCTACTCTCCTTCAGGAGCCAGGTTAGGCTTTATCTTCCCAGGGAAGCTTTTCCATCTACCATCCAATCCCCCCTTCTACCTCACTCTGATAATAATAGTAATAATAAAAGCTATTGATTGGATGCTTACAATGTTTTTGCATGTGAGACACTTAATGAATAAATTGTTGTCATTGTTGTTGTTGTTATGTGCCGTCGAGTTGGATCCAACTCATAGTGACCCCTCCTTGGGTTTCCGAGGCAGTATCACTACGGAAGTAGATTGCCCCATCTTCCTTCCGAGGAGTGACTGGTGGGTTTGAACCATCAGCCTTCTGGTTAGCAGTCAAGTGCCTTATACACTACTTTGACCCACTATCTATAGCCTCCAGCCCAGAAAGTCAATCCACTATCTGCCATGACCAGTCCAGGAAGCCAAATAACAATCCCTGTAGCAATGGACCCAAAATGACCAGGGCTTGATTAATAACTAACAGCATCCTTAGTTTTTTTCTCAATTCCCTACTTAGCACCTACCAGAGGAAAGCCAAATATCCTTCCCTAACCAATCATATAAAAGGCCCAGTTTCTACTTAGCCCTCCTCCAGCTTCCCAACAGACTCTAGTCAGGGAATGCTTGAACCCTTCCCTTTTGTTCACTATAAAGCTTTCCCACTCTCCTCCCTGCTCTTGAGTCTCTGACAAATCAAAGTGAAGGTGGCTAACTCCCTTGGTACAGCAAGCTCTGAATAAATAGCCTGTTTGGTCTTATTTGGCTATTTTTGTCTATTTTCACATTTACCTCATTTAGTCATCATAACAATCTCAAGAGGCAGGTAGTACTCCTATTTTAATGGAAACTAAGGCTTTCAGAGATACGGCAATTTTCCCAGGGTCACGTCACTAGTAAATAATTGAAACTTGGGCTGGCTTTAAAGTCTATCTTTTACTGAAATATCTCCTAAAAGGAGCTCTGGTGGTACAGTGCCTAAGGCACTTGACTGCTAACCAGAAGGCTGGCAGTTCAAACCCACCAGCCACACCTCGGAAGGAAAACTGAGCGATATACTTCCATAGTGATACTGCCTCAGAAACCCAAGGAGGGGTCACTATGAGTCGAATCCGACTCGACAGCAGTGGATGTGTTGCGTTGTCTCCTAAAATGTGAGTCCTGGTACTGCAGCACTAGTGATACACAAGGGAGAGGGGCAGAGACTGTCCACCCCAACTCCCACCCCGCACCAGTGGTTCTCGCCTCCCTCTAGCAGATCTATGTCTCTAACACAGGGAACACTTTCCCACATACCACCCAAAGGACCACATGCAAGAGGACCAACTCAGTGAGGGACTACATGCTGCTCA